GGAGGGCCTGTGGGTGCAAGGAGCAGTGGTTGCAAGGGGGGCTGTGGATGCAGGGGGGCAGTCATGGGGTACAGGGGGGCTGTGAGTGCAAGAGGGGGCTGTGGGGTGCAGGGGGAGAATCGGGCACAAGGGGCAGCCTGTGGGGTGCAGGGGGTTCCCCCATGGGGACTGGGGGTCCATGGGGTGCAGGGGGCCACCTGTGGGGTGCAGAAGGGTTCAAGAGGGGGCTGTGGGTGCAGGGGGTGGTCAATGGCGTGTAGGGGGGAGTCCGTGGGGTGCTGGGGGATTCCCCCGTGGGTGCAGGGGGTCCATGGGGTGCAGGAAGGGCTCCCCGCGGGTGCAGGGGGGTCCCCGGGGTGCAGGGTCCCCCGTGGGGCGCGCTCACCGTGGGGTCGCGGAAGCTGAAGCCGGGCAGCAGCGGCAGCCCCTGCACCGGGCGGGAGCTCATGGCCAGCAGCGCTCCGGCCCGTCGCCGGGCAACGCCGTCTCCATGGCGCCCGCAAACATTCCAACGTTTCACACCCGCCCCCAGTCCAGCGAACGCAGAGGGAACCAGGCGGAGCATGCGCAGTGCGGCCGCAGCCCGCTTCCCGCGCGGGGCTTTCCCATGCGCTTGCGCAGTGGGGACTCCTGAGCTCCAGCAGGGATGTGGCGTGTGAGGGCAGAGCCCCAGCCTCTTCCAAATGCACCAACCCCCTGCACCTGTTGGTGCCCTCTGTGCAGACCCATGCAAAAGCGCCACCCACTGGCCTGGCAGGGGTGCAACTTGTGGGGGGTGCCACAGGCTTCCACAATGGCTTGAAGTTGCAACAAGGCAGGTTGCCATTAGTGCCAGGAAGCACTTGGCTGCTAGAGCAGGAGGCCATGCAGTAGCCCCTGGGAAGCGGAGGTGGTGCAGGATGATAGGTGCAGCGACGCCCATGCCCTGCTGCGGGCAGTGCCCACGCCTCTGGGCTTTGCACACCACTGAGCAAAACCAGATGCGGCACGTCCAGGGTGGCGTGGGGGACCGCTGCTCGCCCGGCCTCAAAGGGCAGATCAGAGGGGCGGGGGGAGCTGGGGCAGCAAGAAGAGGTTGCCATTGTGCCTGCCTTTATCGCCGGACTACAGCCAAGCTGGCAGGGGAGAGGGGGGGCGGGAGATGCAGCTGCAGGGAAGGTTGAGGGAGAGGAGAAAACCCGCCGTTCTGAGATAAACGCAGCCCGAGCGCTTCCAGAGGAGATAGATAGACTCAAGGCCAAACGGGCCTGGAAAGGAGCCACGAGCCAGGCCTTTGCTTGCTGTCTCTCCGCTCCAGCTACCAGCCTCCGTTCTGGTATGGATACGGCCCCGTCACTGTAAGGACCAGAGCGAGTCACAATTTTTCATGCCCTTCTCTCAGCCCTGCTCTGAGGCCAGGCAGTGCTGGGACCCGAGACAAGAAAGGGACTCGCCCAACATCGCATGGAAAGTCGGTAGCAGAGCAGAGACGGGGACCCTGAGAGCGGTGCCAGGGTGAATCCCTTCTCACCCCTGCTCCCAACACGTTCCTCTTGGGTATGCTGGTTGGGGCAGGGGGAAAACCATTGCAGCAGCTGATGCTTTCCTAGCATGTGAGGAACGGCAATAAAAATAGCAGAGTATGAATCCTGCGCTTGTGGTTAGGGCACCGCCTGGGAACTCAGTTTATCTGGAGTCTGTTCCTTCCTCTGCCACAGGCTGCCTGTGTGACCCGGGGCGACTCATTTAACCCCCATATGCCTGTTCTTTATCTGTAAAAGAGTAACAACAGTGCTACCTTTGCCAACCTTTTCTGTATCTCCTTCCATTTGGATTTGAAGCTTTTTGGAGCCAAAAAGGCCTGTTTTACTCTGTGCACAGACAGCACCCGATGCAGGGAGACTTGGATCCTGCTAGGGACTAAAGAACGACAGTGAGAAAAGTCCAGCTCCATGAACGTCCCAGCGGCACAAGGGACGTGTGATGTTTCATCAGCGATTAAGCCTCTCGCGTGATCGAACTATGTTGTGTTTCACCGTGATTCTGCATGTGGCCAATTGATCCGATGGAAGGGGCTCCTGGCGAGCCTCCCCCCCTTGCTGCGCACAAGTCTGTGACATACGATATAAGTATCTAGAAAGATACTGATAATGGATGATTTATATTGAGAGCATTTTCTCGTGGACTGACAGAAAGCCTCCATTATCTTCCATCCGAGCAAAGCCTGGGGCCGGGAGACATTGAACAACTGGACATGGGTCGTGACTGCCCCTTCTAAAACCATGGGCAATAGCATGCTGGTGGTCTGATTTTCAGAGGCATTCAACTAGGACTTTCACTGAAATCAGTAGGAGCTGCAAACAACTGCTGTGACACAGGGCATTCATTTTTTTTATTTTTTTTCCTTTTTCTGACACTTGGGAGGAAAGAGTGAAATGAAGCCATTGGCACTTTAAGCCATGTGCCAACACTTCAAGAAGACCGGACAACTTGGCATAGGTAAAAGAGCCATGCCGTGGTCTGTTCCTGAAGACAATCATTGCAGCAGCATCTGGTCCCCAAAACAAAAATCCTTCCCCCCTGCCGGTATCACCCCCGGAAATGAACAGAAAGCACTTCAACCCTTTTTGTAAAACTTCCCCCTGGATGCTGGTTTCCTGCCTGCACTTGCTGTCTTGGGGCTGGGCTACAGGGCTGGTTGCAGTTGGCTTCAGCGGGGTGGGATTCCTATCATCCTAAACAATGGGAGAAAAAAAAATCCCATACTACGCCTTGGCCATCATTATTATTGTTATTAAAAAAAACCCAAACTTTCCTTACTCTTCTCTACTCCCCATTTTTTTATCTTATAGAAGTATAACATGGGGACCTGACGTGTCCCTTTAACTGTGTATTGCCTTCGGGTCTTCTTCTATGGACAGTAACACTTGAAAGAAGCACATCCCTTGCCTAGAAACACATCTCTTGCCTAAGGTGTAATCCTGTGGTGCTGGTTTGGTATTTGCTTGAAAACCACCATTTTTTCCCCGGGGTCATTTGGAAAGGAGTCCTGGCATTAAGCAGCATGATCTGTGCTGCCGAGGGTGAGGGAACCTTGCCATCTCGTGGAAGACAAATGAAAATACAGCAGTGATGGACACCCTTGCTGTTATATTTGAAATTTTTTTTTTTCTTTAATCTTCAGCTTGGCAGGAGGAGGAGGTGGAGATATTTCCTCCCTCAGGCCCCTGGAGACCAGCTAAACGGCCCAAACTGTGCTCCCAGGGTTTAAGAGCTCACCAGGAAACCCCAGGATGGAAATGCATCCTGTGGGTAGTTGATGAGCAGGTAGCTGTCGCAGATCTGGCCTTGCTTCAGCAAAACACTTAAGTTTGTGAGAGACCGTCTACAAGAGGGAGTTACTCCTCTGCTTAACCTGAAACATGAGCCGGAGGGCTTTGCTGAATTGGGACCTTTATTCATGGCCCTGCTGCTGACCAACTCCAACTTAGGGCTGTGCTGTACCCAGCAGCACAGCCTTGAAAACCATCCCACCTGCACGCTCCTACTCAAAATGTCAGATTGTGTAAATGAGGCAACCTATCCGTCATCCCACGGAGCTGAGCAAATGTCCACAGGCAGGCCTAGAGCAGAGCGCTAAAGCTCATCACAGCTAATGATGCTCAAGGCTGCTCAAAGGCAGCCACTTCACCTCCTTCCTGAGATCGCGCCAGGCTGACTGGGAGCATGGTGGGCTTCATGCTGGTGGGCCCAGGGGTGTCACAGTGCAGCACAAAGGCCCTTGGACACACCCGTAGTCTCCCTACCTATGCCAATGTAAGCATTTGTGCCTTATCTGTAAAATGGGGCTAGTAACCAGCTATAAGGCTTGAACAGGATTTTGCTACAAGCCCTGAATGAAAGACAAGTACAGCGTAATTTTTATGATGTTATTATTATTCTCCTCCTTTCCCTCCTCCATGTGTGGTCTTAGAGGCCAAACTTCCACTGAACAACCCAGCAGCTGCAGCCACCCGAATTCCCCGGCTTTTCCGTGGATTGACAAATTTCACATCACGCGTTGTATGGCTTTTATAACTTTCTTTTACTGGGGAATTTAAACAGTTGTCAGTACAGTGCAAAGCCTTGAATGTTCTCAGTGTTTTCAACAAAACAAAATTCAGGATAGGTGGGGAGGACAGCTGGTGTGTGATACTCGCACCCCTTGTCGCTTTCCAGGTAATGGATAAACCCCAATATATTCCTGTTTAGTAGTTTTCAGCTTGGCAGGAGGCAATGCTCGTCATCAGGAAGAGCTTTGAATACCAAGGCACGTCTGGGGCTTCAGCATATATCCCTGTACATTATGTAAAGCCGTTGATGGAAATGCACCTTTAAGCTACCTACCATGCCCACTACACCAGGTCTAAAGAGGCTGCTTCTAACCCAAACCTCCCATTCCCCTTGGAAAAATCCTGAATGCGATGCACACTGGGCTAGCTGGTGTCCTCAGTGTTAAACAGCACAACTCCAATGGCTACAGCAGAGCTGTTATGATCTCTACCAGCTAAGGCCAGGCCCCTAGTTTCAGCTGTTGGATCATGGGTTCACAAGCCCACTTCCCATAGGTAATGTACTAAAGATGGATGGGCTCAGCCTCTTGCAACCAGGTCGCTGTTAGACACTATAAACCACTAGATCAGTTATGGCTGATCAGTCTGAGGAAGATCTGTTCAGTTTTGCATCATTCAAGAAGTCCCCAATACTGAAGCAAACGATTTTGGGGGTGCCTAAGGATGGCAAGTTCCAGCCAGCTGAGCGTGAGCTGTGGGACACACAACTGGCTGGGAAGCTGGTGCAGCGGCATTTAGTTTCTTAGGACCACCAAAGTTAATGGCAATCCTCTCCCTGACTTCAGAGGGAGCAGGATAGCACTGTCAGCAGCTGCTTGGTACCTGGCCAGGGGGAAGATGCATCATATCTCACAGCACAAAGTCCAGTGACATATAAGGCACGAGTACAAATCGACTTGGAAAGAGGGAGGATGCGTAAGCAGGTCTGATGACAGTTAGTTCAGGCACTGGGACAAGAACCGGGGGGCGGCGAGTGGAGGTGGCTCCAGTGTCGGACAAAGCACCTTGTGTCTCAAGGACAGCAGCATTGGTCAGTAGTTCCCTGCAAAATCAGCCCCATCATTCCCACAGGAAGGTCAGTGGCTGGTCTGGCTGCAAAGGGGGATATGGGGAAGTGGACAGCATCACTCACAGATGCAACGTGGGAAGACTAAAAACACCACCAAGGACACAGTGGGGAAAGTGGAATTGCTTTTCGACACCAGTAGGTGGTGACACATCTCCACTGAAGGTGTCTTTCTAGGTTCTCCATGCCGATGGCATTGCTTTTTCTGTCCTCCTTTTCTTGGGGCAGAGCACGTAGCCTGGTTTGCAACACTTGCAGAAGCAAAGGCCTGGTCTATACCCAAAGACTGTACCAGAATAATCATGTCTCTCAGTGGTATGGTTTGCTACAAGCAAAAAGAGGCCTACTGCAGGTACACACACAGTGTATACAGGTACTCACACCATAATCTTACGCTATATACCTTGAACAGGTGTCTTGCCCTTCCTGTAGGGAAGCATGTTTTTACCAGCATAACTGCATCCGCACTTCAGGGCAATACATTTTAACTGGACTGGTATCGCTACGGCAGTGATGCTCAGTCCAGGCTGGCCCAGGACAGGCTGGCTCAGGACAGCCCCGGGTGTATTGTGGCAGCTCAACAGAAAGCTCCTGTCCTACCTGAACTGTGATCAATAGAGACAGGAAGGGTGGATATACACGAGCTATTAATGTGAATGAATAAACCTCGGCAGAGTTTGTGCTGGAGTTTATTGCTCCCAGGTGCTGTGTTTACACGTGCGCCCGGGACTGCATGAACTGGCAGGAGACCCAGGGGTCAGCCTGCCAGCCCAGGGCTGCTATGACCCAGCTCGATGTCCTGCAGAGAGGCTGGCTAAGGCACAAGCGTACTTCAGTTTAGTGCTAGCCAGCAGGCAGCCCCCACACTGAAGTACCCTCGTGCCCCAGCCGATCCCCTCAGTGTCTACACATGCATGACGGTGCACTAAATAACATCGCCGCAGGATAGTACTTGTGTTTACAAGTACTAATCTACGGCAGAATTACTTAGTTTACTGTGGCTTAATAGGGCTGAATGTGTAGACTGAGACTTTACTCCGGAGCTAATTAGGCAACTGCGCAGTAAACGTCCTGGATAGATGCACCCAAGTGTGCATGCCGCATTATTTGATATACCCAATGCATGTAGGAAATAAAGTATCTGCTTGAAACCATAGGTGATAAACTAAAGAGCCACTTGTGGCTCAGGAGCAGCAGTGTGGGTCTTGCTGGGCTATAGGAACATTGTTCCATAGAAAGTCTTCCCCAAAGGGACAAGAGACGAATATATAATTACATGAAGACAACCGAGTAGTTGTCTCCTATTAAAGATTTCTAGTAATGATAAACCCAGGCTAAATTTGAACCGTGAGCGCCAAGTTCAAAACTTCTCTCCATCCCTTAACCCAAGCAGCATCCCCCACATCCCATCCTCCACAGATTAAGTCATTAAGGCTAATATTTTCAGATCAGGGGGCCTAGAGTTAGGCCCCTGAATCCAAAGAAAGGCACCTAGTATGTGGCTTGGTTTTCTGAGATCCCCCCCACCCTGCCCTCCTCCATTTTTCTCTCTGATTGATCTTTACCCAGCAAAAAGTTATGGCTGACATCACAGCTTTCTGGGTATCAAACCCCACAACAAAAGGGGACTTAAGCAGCTCCTTAAAGCAGATATTTGAATGCTACAGCCAAGGCTTGTGCTGCATGAGCTTCACAACCACCTCTCCCAGCACCATCTCCAAACTCCCCCCGTGTTTGGCTTTGAATGTTTAGACTCAAACTTGATGTGCCGCATCCTCGGCTGGAGTAAATCAGCACAGAGCTACCAAAGTTAATAAAGATCTACACCACATGTGAACCAGCTCGCTCAAGGACCACCTGAGCATGGAGACCGGGAACAGGACATACACAAAGCACTGTGGCATAACCAACGGGAGGGGACCAAGGAGGATCAGAGGGAGCAACCAGAACGGACAACCCAAGAGGTGGGTACAGGCTGGTCCGATGAGGACTCTGCCCGGGCAGGGAATCCTCAAAGGCAGCTGATACAAAGCACCATTGATTTCAATGGAGCTATGCCAATTTACATCACAGCGTTCTGGCCCGTGTCTCCAGTTTCCTATTTCCCACTGAAGCCAACGCAGCAGGGACTCAGCCAGTCGGCGAATGACTTCCTACGCCGCTAGCACCTTCTCGGTTGTGTGGGGTAGGGGGAGTCACAACCCCCTGCAGGAAATACACAAGCTGCCCCCTCCGCCCATTCCAGTCCTAAAGGAAAAGGCACTGGTGTCTCATGGTTATACACTGCCTGAGAGGCCCATATGCCAGTCTTCTGCCATCCTCCTCTTGCAGCAGGTGGCAAGGGCCTCTTACACCATCCGCTCCATCCCTATGCCAGCACAGGGATGCTCCTTCCAGTACAGCCTGTGCCCTCTCCAGTCCCTGGGCACCCATTGGCGCTCTGCAGAAAGAAACACACAGGAGCAATTTGCCATCCAGGATAGAGAAGAATCCTGCCCTGAGGTCAGGACAGACCATCAGATGCCAGGCAGGATTTGTCAGAGGGAGGATGAGCGCATCATTTTTATCTCCCCAACTCCTTTCTCCTCCTGCTATGATGTTTTAACTGATAATAAAATGTGGCAGGTTCCTCAAAGGCCTCTGTTTGCCCCTCTAAGCATGCCACAGGCTGGATCAAGGGCTCATTAAAGCACAGAACAGGGCCATACCCACTGTTAAAGGGGAAGGAGGAACTTCATGCTGATTTAATCTTTGTCGCCTTTGTGGGCGACCATGGAAAATGTTCTGCTCGTAACTAGCTAGAGACACAAACTCACATTTGACATAGGCTGCCAAATAGCCAACCATATCATAGACAAGCCAGGATGCATTCAAACAACAGAACTACAATGGAAAAGGCCTGTATCCAGTTACCCCTCCCTGAGACTGTCTGCCGCGTCATATGAAATTTTCATGAGCAGCCCTGGGACTCGATGTCTGTAAACACCTGCAGCACGACCGCCCTGGGAGAGAAGATGGCTCTGAGCTCACATCGCTGCTGTGTCAGCTGCCTGAGAAATGCTGGGCCAGTGCCAGTCAGTGGAGCAGAGGAAAGGCTGAGGTGTCAAGGCTAGAACTGGCTCTCAACGTCCCTAAAGGTTTTTGTTTTGTTTTGTTTTGTTTTTTTTGGGGGGGGGGAGGGGCGTGGAGCTAGAGGGTTAAACCAGGCCTATTGCTACAACAATGATTTGTCACAGTCACCCTACGAACCTGGTATGGATGAAGCTGAGGATGGAGGAGAGTGGAGAGAACGTGGTGGACAAGAATCCAAACCGGAGAAGGAGCAAGGACGATTGCACCTGCATCTCTTTCAGCACCCTTGCAGCTTCACCCTTAGTTTTACACTCAAAGCATCCAATCCTGCTCCCAGGGACATTTTTGCGATCGACTGCCATAACGGCTTCCCTTGGACGACTGCTCCACAGTCTAATATAACAGCCCTTGGCTGAAACTGCGTATAATATCTCCTGCAGACTTACTGGAGTGGAATGGACTAGAAACCTCTGCCTCACCCATGCGTCCTTGGTTAGATGTCCTGATCTGGCATAAAACACCCCCCTGCCCTGCAGGAGGTGGCCACTCCAGCAGAAATGCTTCTGATGCAAAGGCTCGTCCAGCCCAAGCCTCCTCTCTCAGCCATGTTAGACAGACAGCATTATGCAAACAAACCAGTTTAGGTCTATCTACATTATCCTCCTTCACTGGTTTCCAGCAAGCTGGACCCAGCCAGTTAGTATCTACTCCATCTCCAGGATGGCCTCTCAAGAGTCCTTTTTAACCAGCGCTGCCTTGATCCGACACCGCAAGAAGTAGGCTGTGACTGCACTGCAGGCCACGAGGCCAAAGAACGAGCCGCAGGACACGTAGATGGAGAGAGGCCCGTGTCTCCTCTGGAAGATTTCCTGCCTGTTCTTGTAGTCTAGGAAGATAGCCTCCAGCTGCGAGAGCGTGCAGATGGCCAGGAAGGTGTGGAAGATCTGATGGGCATGGCCAACGATGTCGCAGGACCCGGGGAAGTATTTCTCGGGCACGGGGCAGGAGAAGAAGCAAGCGCTGATGAGGAAGAAGAGGATCTGGAAGGTGTGATACCAAGCAGCCTTCTCCTCACAACCCCCCAGGTGGCACATGACCACCCGATGCGCCACGGGGCTGATGTCCAAGATGAAGGCCAGCCCAGCCGGGATCACTTGGCACACCTTCCTCATGATGGGGTACGGGCGGCGGTATCGGTACTTGGCATAGCAGCAGCCGGCACAGGAGAGCCAGCCGCAGAAAGCAGCTGCCGGGAGGAAGAAGAGCCAGAACTTATCGTACCAGGCTTGATCAGAGCTGTAGTAGAAATGGGCCAGGGCACTGCCATACTGGTAGATGCTGACTCCAACGTAGTCCGCAAAGTAGAAGGTGTAGTGGGACAGCTCCGACTTAGACTGCAGCAGATGGGCTAGGAGGCTACATGTCAGGTAGGTGACGGAGGACAGGACGAAGATGAACAAGGGCAAGGACTGGACATCCACGGACAGCTCCTCCCCGTCAGCAAAGGTTTTGAACCTCAGCAGCACAGCCAAGGCGGCCAGGAGATGGGTCCAGACATTCACCACCTCGTTGTGCTTCTGGAAGAGGCTGAAGAAGTAGTACCGCCACTCCTGGCCGGTGGGGCGGTACCCGGTCTGGATGTAGGGCTCTCGGAAAAGCTGGGGCACATCCGACTCCCTGACAGTGCACGGCATTTTGGGGAAGCCTTCCTCCAGCAGCTTGGGCAGGCGGCGCAGCTGCTGCCCACTCACCGACAAGGTGCTGATTCGCTCCAGGATGGCTGTCATCATGCTCTCTGCAGTAGCTGGTAGTCTGTCACCAGGAAACGTTGTGTTCTTGTCCTGCAAGAAGGAGAGAAATGAGAGGCATTCATGACCAAGAAACCCCCTGCAGCATGAAGCCCATGGTCCCAGGATTGGGGGGAGGGGGGGATGCTCTCTGGAGCTCATGGGATGCTACCAGCTCATGCAACCCCTCTCCCTTCTCCACCCAAGCTTTTCAGGGCATTTTGGGTGCACTGAGATTTAGGTGAGTTTGCCTCAGTGACTGGGACACTTAATAAGGAGAGGCCCCACACATCTTTTGAGCCAGCAAAAAGCAGTGGGAGAGCTGCAGACCTGCATGCCTTGCCATGCAACAGGCCACCAAACCTGCCTTCCCAGAGCAAGACAACACTGCCTTAGTGCCCTTGTCTCTCCTGCCCTTTACTTGCGGCAGGCTGCTTTGGAGCTGCAGTATGCAAGAGGGGCAAGAGCAGACTTTCCTGTGGACCCTTCTTCAAGCACAAGGGATTGGGATCAATGGCCCATGAGGCTCTGCCAGTGCAATGCCCCAATATTCAGTTTGATCTGAGCCGAAACCTCTCCCTAGGATGAGGTCTGCATGGGTATGCCCTTGCTCCTGTAGCGGGATACCAAGCCCCTCGAGACTCTGACCCATGTCCATGAAAATATGTCTATACCCCTGTGCAAGAAGCTTTCACAGCAGGATGCTGAGAAACAGACAACCTGCTCCCATGAAGGTCTCACCCGAATCCCCAGACTTTGGTTTAAACTTTGCTGCAGAAAGTTTGATATCCCTTTGTTCATTTTAACATTAATTACTACCCTGGCAGCCTTATTCACTGCAGGATTAATACAATGCAAATAAGGGGCAGTTGTACAAAAGCCTATTGAGCTCTTCCTACAGATCTAAGTATAGGGGGTAGACAACTAATACATTTACTCTGAAGTAATCTGACTTTACTCCTGGGTAAAAATGAATCAGACCCATGCTGTACAGGCTTATACCAGGGTAGATCATTTTACTCCAAGGTAAAATTACCTCCCCCAAAATGAGAAGCAGCTATACTACCGTGCGAGTTACACCAGAGTGTATTGATCATCTGTCTGCTCCCCAAGTCTGTTTCCTCCTGGGTACCCCGCTTTGTGCAATACATACTGGGTACCCACTGCCTAATGGCCAGTCATTGTAACAACTCCTATTGGGAACAGTTAGCAAGGGAGAGCTCATTGTATGCCTGCTCCTTACTGGGTGCCTTTACACATGCAATTCATATGCAGCAATAAACTCCAGTACATATACCAAAGTTTATTGCTCCCAGATGCAGTGTTTACACATGCACCTGGGATCACAGCATATTGAGTTGGCTTGGAGCAGCCCCAGCTGGCAGGGAGCCTGGTGGGAAAGCCTGCCAGCCTGGGGCTGGTCCGATCCAGCTCAACGTGCTGCTGAGGAGCCAGCTGGGTCATGAAGGTGCTCCAGTGCAGGGCTAGCCGGCAGGCAGCCCCCACACTGAAGCACCCTTGTGCCTTAGCCAGCCCCATCAGCATCTACACATGCATTCCTGCAAAATGAAAAAAAACAAAAAACTCCACCGTAGGATGGTACTTGTGTTTACAAATATTAACCTATAGTGGAGTGAATTACTTTACTCCATCCTAATAGCACTGCACATGTAGACGCTAAGACGTTTACTGCGGAGCTAATTAGGCAATTGCAGTAAATGTCTCATGTAGATGCACCCACTATGAAGCAGATTCACTAAAGATTAAAATCCAAGATAAATTTCTCCAAACCAATTGTGCCATGTGTCCATTTGTTAGGAAAGGGGAGTCAAACTCACCTGGCCCTGCAGGCTGGATCAGGCCCCCAGACCCCCTACCCCACATGCCGGATCCAGCAGCTGTGATGCCTGCTCCACACATAGTGCCTGCCCTGAATGCAAGTCCTGGACTGGCTGGAGTGAGCATCATGTGGCAAGCTCCCAGACCAGCCAAGGAGGACATTGGATCCTCCCCCCACCAACCCCACAGGCTGGATCCAGCTCGTGCTCTGCTCTGGGACTGCACTGCACATGGGGCCTGCTCTGGGAACCACGCTGCACGCAGCACCCATCCCACACCGGCTGAAGCAGGCACTGGATCTAGCGTGCGGGTGGGGGGTCTGGATTGGCCCCGTGTGGGTGCCATGCCCTGTCCGTATGCAGGGTATATGGTGTGTGCCCTGGGCCCTGCGTACAAGGCTGGTCCAGCATGCATCCCCTGTGGTACGTGGGTCAACTCAAGTCCCAGAGCCAGTACCGGGGCCGGATAACATCACTCCACAGCCTGCGGACCAGATCTTTGACACCCCTGCCCTAGGACTACTGTTACCGCTTTGTTTAAAGATGTGCACAAGCATTTGCAAGATTTGAGCCTCTCCCCTCAGCTGACAGCCATCCAGCAGCCACCACTCTGGGGACAAGTAAATCCAGAGAAGTATTCTGTTTCAGGGCGGGAAGTATTTCCCTCTTTCTCTGTGCAGGGATGATTGGCAGAGCATTTCCTAAAGGACCTGGAGACTAATAGCTCCGCGAATCCTCTCATTGCTGCTTTGCCCTTAAACCCAGAGCAAAGGCTGGGGAATGGGACAACAGATCTGCAACAAACCAGGTCACAAAACCTACCCTGGGAAGGCAACAGGCCCAGCTTGCAAAGCTGTGGAAGAGGCAGAGAGGAGAGTCGAGGATGGTCATCGTGACCCTGACGCAGCATCTCGGTGTCTCCCACTTCCTCTACCAACCCGCGTGGGCTGTCAATATGTGTCTGACAGCAACTTCCCAATTCCAGCAGGCACCGGTTGCCACACCCAAGATTACAAAAGGGTTTCTAGCACAGGCATGCTGACCTCTCAGGGCTGTAATTTTCCATGATTGCCAAAGGGGAACTTGTTTGCTGAGATTGTCCCAGCTCCCCTCGGTCATTTTAAGGTAACATGAGGGCTCTTTTGCATGTTACCCTCAGACAAAACAAGATTTTAACATGTTTTTAAAGCGGGGTTATAGCACAAGCTGGCAGCCCGGTGAAATCTGCTGAGGGCTTCTGCCTTGGCCTCAGACCAGGAGCAAATGGTTTACATCTTGACTATGTGAGAGCAGAAGACCCCCTACTCCCCACTGCAGCAACTGTCCTGCAAGGGTGGGGGAGCAGGTAGTTGAATCCTGCATCCCAAGGTCATCCCTGACTATAAAGCACAGCAGCTTTTGTGCAGCTCAGTGCCAGGGTGGTTGTAAGCCAGGTTGGTGTGCCCCTTCCTGACCCCATCAATCCTGGGGTTATCCAAGTCCCAAGGCCATCTCTGCAATATGCTGGAGCAGTGTCAGGGCTGCTCTGTTTGAAGCTGCAGACCATCATGGCCCAACTCAAGCCCCTTTTCTCCCATCCGGGCCAGTCCAATAGCTTTATGCCCCTGGATGAGTGTGGTGATTCACATCACACAGGCACTCAGTTCACCTAGACACAGCACATGGCGGTGCCACCTGGCACCGATGGTGCCAGCAAACCACGGGAGGAGCAAAGCAGCCGGGGAAAGCACCCGTACCTCCCACTGAAACCCAGCGTGAAGCCCAGGGGGCTCAAAGTCCTGCAAAACCCCACCCAGTGCACAGCAATGCCCACCCCTGGCACAAGCATGGAGAGTGCAAGGAAGCTCCTTCGTGCAGCATGACACAAGGACCATGAGCACTTACAGCTCTGCCATGCAGGGGAGATAGCTGTTCCTGTGCAGGGGCTGGCCAGGGGCCTGGGCACCATTTCTGTCCCTTGCCAGGCAAGCTGGGTCACGCACAGGATGATCTCACGGCAGGGCAGCACGAGGTCACTGTTGAGGAAGTTAGGAAATTTTCTTAGATACCAGATCCTGTTAAGGGTGCAACATTTACATCTATTGTCACCACACGCATCATCAGGAAGCAGGCAGCGGCTAAAGAAAATGAAAATATAAGTGGGCGGCAGGGGGTGGGGGTTGGAAATCAAGAAAAAAGAGTCCATTCTGCCCCCTTCCCCAAACAGACCCACATAGGAGTTGTGGTTTGGGAAGTCACTAGGAAAAGGGGAAACCTCTCAAACAAGACCACAGAATCAGAGGAAAGTAGAGCTGGAAAGGATCTCACGAAGGCATCTAGTCCAGCCCCCTGCTCAGGGTAAGACTGTCTCTAACCATCAAGTCTCTGCCCAACCTGCTCTTAAAAATTTCCAAGGATGGAGATACCAACCCTCTCTAGGCAGCCGGCTGCAATGCTTGACCACCCTCGTAAGCAGAAAGTTGTTCCTAACATCCCACCTCAGTTTCCCCTGCTGCAGTTTAGGACCATCAAACCAAGGGGTGGTGCAAGCTGTCTCACCAGCCTGGAGCAGAGGTGGGTAAATCTCCCCAATGGCTCTATCTGGGCATGGTCTTTCTGAACAGGCGAGGGGGGAGGCCAGCTGGCACTGCAGGAGACTGGAGACATTGCACGTGTGTAACATGGCATCACAGCTGCCTCTGGGTCAGCTCCTCCCGAGAGTCCTAGCCCGGGATATGCCATGCTGCACGGCCTCCAGCCCGGAGCCGAGCACAAGGGCACACCTCGCATCGCAACCAGGGCTGTGGCCATTCCCGTGCTGGGAGAAGACCCTATGCATCTTCCAGATGGGATTCTCTGTATTGCCACACCGAGCAGCCCATCGTCCCTGGGGTTTGCCTCGCACCCTGCACGGCACTGTACGCACCGCACCGGCAAGCTAAACTCCCTAGTCCAACAGTCCCTTCGGTGCTCCAAACCTCTTCTCTGGCCCCTGCCCTTTTATTGACGTTGGGTCCAGGAAGCTCAAAGAAAGCACAGGAACCTGCACTCCCCCAGCCAAAATGCATGGTTGAGTGGGGAGGTCCTGAGATGAGCCACGTTGGGAGCCATGAGTGGACCTTAGCTTTCTGCACACCATTGGCCCCTTTCCTCCTACTATCCATGGGACCCACTGATACATCCCACGCCGGAGGGCTTGTAGCCAGGCCCCAGCTGACTATTCCCCAACTTTCCTTTAAACAAACAGCAGCCATATACTCTGGCCTACTGAAGGCTTTGTGTTGAGTGATGATCACTGGACAACCAGGAGACTTAGTGGTCTCCCAGAAGACTTTTTATCATGGCTAGCTTGTGTGACCCTTGTGCACCCCACTGGGGACTGTGGGTCTGGCTCTATTCAATATAAGCTGGTTTACCCAAATGTCTTGGAAACCTCCAACCCCACTGGAAAAATGTGGCACTACTGGTGTCACGGGCTCTGACTGGGTTTAAAGTTAACCACGTGTCATTGGCCTGGCATAGTAAGACCCAACTGCAGCTTGTACCCAGATGCTCTGATGCAAGACGGATAGGCCTGGTAAATAAATCTAGATAGGCTTAGATGGAAAGATCCCCACTACTCGTACAAGCAGGCACCAAAGCACCACCAAAGCCACATGAATGTCTTCTTTGCCCATATGGCACAGGGCTCCTTGCTCATATGGCGTAAGGGCTAAGGAAGACCATGCTGGCAAGGTCCAGAACAGCTCAGGGCATCCCTACATATGCAAGTGCATGCATATGCTGCATGCACTGGCTCTGGCACCGTGCATCACAAAAGACACGCAAAGCGAGCTGCCGGGACTTCCGACGGCCGACCGCTGTGCTAGGCTCCAGCTCAGGGTGCAGACCAAAGCGTAGCACCGTCCCGCTCCTGGATGAA